ATATGTCAAAAATATAATGTTTCTATTGTTTTTTTTTTTCCAATCATTTAAAGATATAGAACCCATCCTTAGCTCATGGACCATACAAAAAGAAGTGGCTGGTAGACTCCTGCTTTGGGCAATGGGGAAGTTTTGGGAGGTTTTAAGAAAAAGAAAGACAAGGTCCAGGTTATGTTTTCAAGAGGCCTCTCTGGTGGCCAGTAAAGAATGGACCAGTGAAGGTGCTATTCCAGAGGCTGGGAGATCTCAGAAAGCCCTTGTGATGGTTTAGGTGGAAGACAGAAGAGATCCCAGCAAAGGAAATGAGTCACAGAGGCTCCCCCAGAAAGTGATTTCCATCTGACCCATCGGGGCAGTGAGGCAGGTGTCCCCAGATGTTTCTTCCATGAACAGCAATTGAATTGAATGCCAAGTTTGAATTTGGATAACAGCCTCTCATCCTAGCAAACCAAATTAACACTAATCACTTTCCTTCCCCATACAAACCCAGCCAAACTTTCCATAAAGTGCTATCCTTAATAAAACCAGAAAACAAACAAAAACCCTCAATGTCTACAATAAGATTGTAGTGCATATATAAGAAGTGTCCGGCTGGGCACAGTGGCTCACACCTGCAGTCCCTCTACTAAAAACACAAAAAAGTTAGCCATGCGTGGTTGCAGGCGCCTGTAGTCTCAGCTACTCAGGAGGCTGAGGCAGAAGAATGGTGTAAACCTGGGAGGCGGGGCTTGAAGTGAGCTGAGATCACGCCACTGCACTCCAGCCTGGGCAACAGAGCGAGACTCTGTCTCAAAAGAAAAAAAAAATTCCTTATTTTCAGAAATGCATACTAAAATCTCTAGGGATGAAATCCTGTGATATCAGTAACTGACTTTTAACATATTTCAGCAAATAAAAAAATGAATGCAGCAAAAACAACTCCAATCTCTACTGCCCTTCTCCTGATCCATGACCTGGGAAATGCAGGGCAGGGTCAGCCTGCCCTGGGATCCCACACACACTTCTGGGAGGTAGATGTCTCTGGATCCATGTGGCCTGTGCATCCAGGGGCCTCTTGCTCCTCCAGAAGAGCCATCTGTGCTTTGCAAAAGAGGTCAGAGTCCCAAGCCATAGCAGCCAAGGGCAGAGACCAAAGTCCAGACCTGTTCCTGAAGCTGAACCACTGCTGCACGTACCTTTGCTCTCCATGATCTTTTGCCAATGACCCAAAAAAGAAGCTGTGCATTTCTGTCCCTGCACTCATGAATGCTAGTGTCCATCAAGCCCTTACCATGTGGCCCAATACTTTATATGCATTATTATCTTTCCTAAACTTCACAACAAGCCTATGAGAGATATGCTACTATTTTCTCCACTTTGCAGATGAGGAAACTGCAGCTTAGAGTACAACCTGTGCCATCATACAGATCCCCACACCTGGGAAGAATCCATGCTTGGCTTAATGCTCTGCTATCACCATCATAAAATTCTTCACACATTTTATAGGAACCCTACATTTGCACTCTGTGCAGGACCCTGCAAGTTACATAGCCAATCTCACTCAGGTCACACTGCTCACTGGTGGTGGCATCAGGGGTAATGCAGGCAATAGGACTCCAGCACTTGCCTGCCATCCATGACAGGGTTTGAAATTTCACGTAAGTGGCTATTTGATTCCAGCCTGCTAAAAGCCAAAGCCAGGAAAGACACCAGGCTCTGTTTGACACCCAATTCTGGACTCTTTTTTTTTTTTGAGACGGAGTCTTGTTCTGTCACCCAGGCGGAGTGCAATGGCGCGATCTCAGCTCACTGCAAGCTCCGCCTCCCGGGTTCACACCATTCTCCTGCCTCAGCCTCCCGAGTAGCTGGGACTACAGGCACCCACCACCAAGCCTGGCTAATTTTTTGTATTTTTAGTAGAGATGTGTTAGCCAGGATAGTCTTGATCTCCTGGCCTCATGATCCGCCCGCCTCGGCCTCCCAAGTGCTGGGATTACAGGCCTGAGCCACTACGTACAGCCCCAATTCTGGACTCTTAACCCAGGCAGGACAAAGAGTTGGTGGCCTGGGCCCATCCAACTGCCGTACTCAGCTCCCTTCCTCCCTCCACTCTCTGCCTCTTTGAGAAGCATGCTTCCTCTCCCAGCCACTACTGTTTCCTCCACAGTGATCTTGGAATGGGTGACTAAAAGTGCTGCAGGTGGGTGGCCTTAGAAGGACACCTGCCCAGCCCAGCCCCACTCTCTGGCTCTCAGTGCAGAAGCATATGCTCCTCAACAGAGGAAGACAGTTTCAAAGAGCATCTGAGTTTTAGGAATGGTAGGAAAGAGCTGGAACAGAGGCCGATTCCGCCAGCCATCATCGGTCTCTGATCTCCTGGCAAGAAAGCCTGCCATAGAGTAAAACTGCTTTTTAAAAATTCAGCAAACCAGGAGACATACCCTCAGGGTGTAGCTCTGAGGTTCCAATGTACATATTTTCCAAGGGCTGAGAAGACTGGAAATTTCTCCAACAAGATCAAATGCAATGCATCTCAACCTAGACCCACCAGGGCAAAAGCAGAGTCCATCCCCCAAGGTCAATGACATCATCACTGACATTGAGTCTAGCTCAGGCTCTGGAGCTGGTCTGCCTGGGCTTGAATCCTAGCTCTGATGCTCACTAGCTGATTGGCCTTGGCAAGTTATTTAACCTCTTTGTACCTTTGTTTCCTCCTCTGTAAAACAGAAATAATGATGTCTGCATCAGCGTTATCATGAGGCATAAACAACTTAATATATGTGGAAGAGGAGCTTAATAATTGCAACTGATTAATATCGATATCATCATTTTCAAGTTCTGCTTAGGGACCTGAAGAAATGCTCATTCCCTACCTAATGCATGCGGGGCTTAAAACCTAGATGATGGGTTGATGGGTGCAGCAAACCACAATGGCACGTGTATACCTATGTAACAAACCTGCATGTTCTGCACATGTATCCCAGAACTTAAAGTAAAATTAAAAAGAAAATGTTCATTCTCCAGGAAGCAACCCCCACCTTGCCATGCCCTAAATCCACTGCTCTAGAATCCCTAAGACAAGCAAGAAGTCTTGCTTCTTCTTGACCAACTGCAAGGAAGTGCCTGCTTCTCCAGGATACCTACAAGGGCAGCTCACAGAGTCATGCCCCTCAGGGGACTTCTTAACCTTGGTGGTGGAGGCCTTGGCAGACACTCAGGTGTTTGGTTCCATATTTGCTTCCAGATGAGACTTTTTAATAGACATGCAACTGCTTAGCTATGCCCCAAAGCATGGGGCAAGTCACCAGACAGGGAAGCTCCACTTCCTCTGATTCATCTGCACCCATAACGGGCCACCAGCCCCATCTGCCAATAGCAAGGCAAAGCTGACTCAGGCAACATGAGATTACGCAAGCATCTCCCTCCCCTCCTGCTTTAGTCCACAGCAAGCCGTGCCTCCAACCTTCTTTCTGCTACAAAGATCACTCACAGGTCCAGGATAATCATGGTACCTCTGTGACAGGCTCGTCAGCAGGGCTGCTCTTGCCAATCTCTTACTGCTCAAAGCCTGGCCCTTGTAGTTCTGCCTGCTCTTCCCTGGTCCTGAACCTTGCTTCTGCTCCTTGGACTCTCAGGCTAGGCTTCTTCCTGGTCAGCCTTATGCTGGTCTGACCACAGCTGGTCCCACTATGAAGCCCATTAGAAATGAGGTCAATGCATCACTGGCCCAGTTTCACAGAAAGATTGATGGGGGCACAAATGGCTGCTAGAATCCAGGTTCTGACAAATAGAGACTTGATGGAGCGTGGCTGAATATTTCTGATATAGAGACACAAGTTCAGAAGGCATGTGGCATCTCTGAGTACTGGATGTCATACCAGGAGAGTCTCATCTCAAGAGGAGGTGATGATCATGTGTTTGGCCTTCAGAGCCCATGCTACTATAATTTTCTAAGATCTGAAATCTGAGTAATACAACAGCAGTCAGCTTCATGACCAAGAGCCCATCCTCGAGGGAAATTGACTCATCCTCCTCTGATGAGTGACTTGACTTTCCAGGCAAGCAGAGCAGGATTGAGCTTACTCCTGGGTCTCAGGGTTGCCTCCCTGGCCTAGGGAAGAGCAGATGAAGAGGAAGTGGGTGTTGATTCTTGATGGTTTTGGGGCTTCAACCCTGTCACCTACCTTTCAGGCCTAGCCTCAGTCCTGACTCAACAGAAGAGGCCACACCCAACTCCACTTCCTAAAGGCTTTGGTGCCCAACCCTAAGTCCTGATCACTACTCAGGTAGGAAATACAAGGAACTGCCTTCCAGGTAGGAAAGGAGGTATAACCATAAGTAGATTAAAAAAAAGGAACCTTCCATTTCTGTAAATTGAAGTCTTATCCACACAAGACACAGATTGCAGGGGGCTGGATTTATGGGGTAAGATGATTAAATTCTGTGTCCTCTTTCATATGTCATGCTTTCTCATGCATTACTAAGGATCTGATTTGGTGGCAGTTTGTTGATTTCTTCAGTTGTTAGCTCAGTTACAAAAACCCAGTGAGCAGGACTTGGGTACCCTGCCCGTCAGCTTCTTAGAGTCAGAGAAACACCATCAGTCCACAGTGCTTTATAACCACCCGACCACCCTGGATGGGGCCTTGGTACTCATTACCCACTAGTCCTCCCCTAGCAACAAGCACCAACAATCCAACATATACATAAGACCAGTGGGAAGCCCTTATTTGTCTTTATAGCCACAGAATGTGGTACATTTAAGTTGTTCCATAAATGTTTTTGTTTTTGTTTTGAGACTAAGTTTTACTCTGTTGCCAGGCTGGAGTGCAGTGGCGCAATCTTGGCTCACTGCAACCTCTGCCTCCCAGGTTCAAGCAATTCTCCTGCTTCAGCCTCCTGAGTAGCTGGGACTACAGGTGCATGCCACCACGCCCAGCTAATATTTGTATTTTCAGTAGAGACAGGGTTTCACCATGTTAGCCAGGGTGGTCTCAATCTCTTGACCTCATGATCCGCCCACCTCAGCCTCCCAAAATGCTGGGATTACAGGCATAAGCCACTGCGCCCAGCCTTGTTCCATAAATGTTTTAAAGAAGGACATGCTCCCTGAAATACAGCCCTTGGGCCATTCAGTCTCTAACTCTGTCTCCGACAGAGACACTCAAGAGTGAGCTGGGAGAAGGCCTGGCCATCTGACATCACCTAGGAGGCTGAGGTCTGACCCACTCCTCCAGGCCCTAAGAAGTCTCGCAGAGAACCCAGCACTCAGCTACACTTAAGGCTTCCACAGCACGTTGTTACAGCATCACCTCCAGCTCCCTACGGGCAGCCCACACACCTGGCCAAGGGACACTGGAGCATGCACTCCCTGCACAGTCCTCTCAGCCACTCTGGCCCTTTGCTCATGTTCTCCTCTTACCCCAGAACAACCTCCCTAGACTTCTCCAAGCTGTCCCTCAAAACCCAGATTGATCATTTAAGAATCTCCGTAGCAGATCTTTTGTACTTGGCATATTGAACTCTGACCACATGCTGGGCAGTTTGCTGGATGACAGGAGTACCAAGAGGATGAAAACACACGCCTGCTCTCAGGTCACTCAGACTATTCGGGGAGGTGAGCAGAGGAACAAATGGCTGCAACTCGCTGCACAGTCAGACTGGCAGGGGTGAGTCTCAGCTCCACGACACACTAGCCAGGTGACTTGAAGCAAGTCGCTTAACTTAAAATGTCTGTTTCCTCTTCTATAATATGAGGACAAGTGTGGTATTGATTTCATCAGGCTATTGTCACAGTTGTATGAATTAATATAATTAAAGACAACATTTACTGTACTCAAAAATTACTGGAGGAAGAGAAATGAAGGTAATGCACAAGGTATATTACTTGGTTTTGTACCAAGTTCTTATCAGATTGCTTTCACTAGATTGGTGCACTGTGCACATGGCAGGCCCTCAAGAAATGTTTGTTACCCTTCCTTGAACATGCTCTACACTTCACCCAGCTTTTCTGTTCTCGTCATCTCTTCAACACTGTTTGTATAAAAATTATATATTCCTCAAGGATGAGATCAGATGCCACCTCCCATAATTAGGTTTACATGCTTCATGATTCCCAGACGAACAGCTTCCCTGTCCTGTTTTTGGATCTCTCAGGCATCTAAAAAGAGGTCTTCACCACCTTTAGTGATACCCATCCATATAGGTATACTATATGCCCCTATCAGACCACAGCTCCTTAAAGACAAAGACTGAGACTCATGCTTTGTTCTTTGGGGCCAAGACTCTAGTGACAGAACAATTAAAAAGCAGTGCTATTTCTGTAGGGGAGCACTCCAAAACTCCGTTCCAAAACCTCTTTCTCATAAGCGCGTGAGCCAGAATGGCTTTCCAGAACCTCATTTTTATCAAAAATAGAAGCCAATCTGACCATGCACACTTTATAACACAGTGAAATGGAACATCCCAAACTTTTATCAACACGCATTTTCTATTCCCTCTATATAATAAAGGGTCCCAATGTTCATCTAACATTTTTCTGAAATCAGTATGTAGCACTCTCCACTTCTGAATCTGATGGGGCACCAATCAGTTTCACAGTCATCACTGGAGAGACTCTGTGTCAGATTTTGTCTCCAATTGTAACACAGGATCACATGGTCACTCTACTGAGCTATTCCCACCCACGCTGTTGGTTCTGGGGATGATGAAGGGGAAAAAAATGGTTCTAGCACCTGGATGCAGACCGTTGCATGTTCGACATCCTTTTCTTGTGCTCCATATGAAATATATCCCAGATCCTTCATGGGCAACCCTCCACTGTCCAGTTTCATAGGAGCACAGAAAACTAGTCCATTCTCAAGTAGGTAGTACTTTCTGTTCCATTTCATGAACAAAATAGAGATGCAGCAATAAATTACATGATTTGAGCCCTCATTAGTAGACAGTAAATGTCATATTTTATTAAAAAGCTAATAATCCATTCAATTTTTTAAATTAGGCAATGACTGTAATATAATAAATTTGAATAATTAAGCCTAATATTAATGGAGCAAAAACAAGAGGGAAGAAAGTTCTAAAATCTTTATTTTTCGCTCCACATAAAACATGTTGATAATGATCCCACGGGTGAAAGAAGTTTCTATGTGCATACCAGTGGGGTACTTATTTGTCAAAGCAAGAACTCACACATATGCTTAGACAGCTGGAAATCTCTAGGGAAGTACAGAGACCTCTCCTAACTCAGCCCTCACTATTGACTCCTAGCTCTATTTTTACCTGATCTGTTTTTATTGCTGGACTCCACTCTCTTTCCATTACATACAGCCTAAGAATTTTCTACTCCAGTTAGAGAGCTCTGACTAAGACGCAAGTTCACAACCAGGATGGTTGGTCTGTACATGCTATTTTCTCCCTGCTCAATAAAAGGAGAGCATCCTTGTGGTAGAAATAGCTTGGTATCTACAGCCATACCACGCTGGACACACCTGATCTTGTCTGATCTTGGGAGCTAAGCAGGGTCGGGCCCGGTTAATACTTGGATGGAAGAAATAACTTTGCGCAACAGTTCTAAACAAAGCACAGTCTGAACTTATTCTTCCTGCCACACAGCCTTCCCACCACGTGAGGCCTTAACATCATCTCTGCTTGGAAACTCCACACCAAGGTTGCACCATCATGCCCTGAAGAAGGCAAGAAGCCTTTCCTTGGGCCACTGAGTACAGGCTTATGTAAACAGGCAGTATAACTCAGTAGGCAGAGATGAAACATTTGCACTTCTCTCCAAGCATTTTAAATGAGAAAGCAAAACTCATTAAACAAGCTAAACACTATTCTACATTCTTAAGTGTCCAAACAAACTTTTCCCCAGTAGCCTGCACTTCTATGGATTTTGCGATAAACCAAGGGGAAGGGAAGAGGAGACTTTCCTCCTAAGCTCAGAGAGATCAAAGAGAACAAAGCTAGAGAGTGTGAGGGATTCTGCTTGGTGAGCGTTTCTCAGCAGAGTGGACTTTCTGTGTCTGGGCTGCAGGCCCCTGAGTGTCCGGTGCTCTGAGGACACCTTCACCGGAATCTGTAGAAGGTACACATCAGATCTGCTCCCAGTAATAATGCCTTGCTTTGCAGAGGCTGTTTTGCTTTCCCAGGCGCTTTCATATCTTGTATTGATCAACAAGCAAACACTTACTGAGCGCCTATCAGATGCAGGGCCCCAGGTGGAGATCATCTCACCGACAGATATCTCATGGCCCCACTCTTCAGACATATGTGCCACTCTGAAAAGAAAATAAGGCCCAGATCTGCCTTCAAGATGTTTATAGTTTATTTGGAGACACAAGCAAAGAGTCCCGTAGAAAGAGAAATAATACTGCAAAGCACTCTATTTTAAGTTAGCCTTCCTTAAACTTTGATCATAATCACAACCACATTAGGAGCTTATTAAAAATCAAAGGGGCCTGGATCACATCTTTGGAGAATCTAATTCCATGGGAAGGAAGCCTGGGTCCCTGTATTTTTAACAAGCAGCCACAAAGATCAAAAATTTAAAACATAAGGCAGTGCATACGTGGCAAATGAGACAGTCACTCATGCTGGCCAAGGTCAAAGGACTCCAGCAAGGTCAGACATAAAAGAGACCTGCAAGGGCAGACAGGAGGCTGAGAGCAGAAAGGCAGAAAGGAGAAAGGCAGGGAGTTGGCAGGGAGAGGGGGATAGGGTCCTAAGAAAAAGTGCAATACTCATGTAGGGGGAAAGAATGCAGAAAATTCTGAATGTAGGAGAAGGCTGCCCTAGAGGATTGAGAGATCAAGACAGACAGGTAGGTCTGGAGTCTGGGGCCATGGGACTGGAGTCTGGGCCCTTATATTTTATCATTATCAAAGTAAGGAGGATCATGAATGACAGGTGTTTACTTTAGCCTGGAGGCAAAGGGTGCCTCAGGAATGGCAGGGCCACGAGAGCAGAGAATTTCAGACACAGAAGTCCGGTGCTGGGTTGAAACCATCAGGAAGACCAGAAGCTGGGCCCAAAGTTCTAGTAAGATAGTTTAATATCCTGTTCTACCCTCACCGCAGATCAATGAACTGAGCAAGATAGATAATATTATCTTCTTTCTGTAGAGAGAAAACTGGGGCACAAAGTGGCCACACAGCAAGAGGAAAGCTGGGGAAGCCAGAACAGCCACGTGGCTGCACTCATCTTTGACAAATCAATCCACTGCATTTCAAGCCTATTCAACATACATTTATAGAGTGCCTACTACCAGCAAGAAACAAGCAGCAGCAAGATTAATGGAGTGCCGTTCCTGCCCTCAGGGAGCTCACCTCCCAGTGGAGGAGCTGGCAAACACTTTCTGTAAAGAACCGGATAGTGAATACTTCAGACTGTGCAGGCCAGTCTCTGTAGCAAATGCTCACCTCTGACATTATAGCAAAAAAGTGGCCATGCACAATACATGAACAAATGAGTATATCTGTGTTCCAATAAAACTTTATTTACAAAACAGGCAGCGGGCCGGATTCGACCTGTAATGTGCCAATCCCTGATCTAGTGGGTAAAACAAACCCCTGCATGGCTACTTATAAAACAAGAGAGGTGTGTTATAAATAAAACGACTTTACAGCCCAAAGGAAAGATAGAGTAATTTAGTCTGGCCATGGATGACTGGAGAGGTAGCACTGGAGTGGGACAAGTCACTTAGTTTTCTAGGTCTCGGTTAAAACGATGGGGCTGAATCAGAAGCACATGGACGGCCCTTCTTGTTCCAGCATTCTCTGACTTGGATGGTAGTGCTGCTTTCCTGCCCAGTCTTCCAACTGCACAAACAACGTGGCCTCTCCCAAGCTTCCTGGGCCTCTCCTCACCTCTACCATCAAGTTTTGAATGTTACTTAAGGAATAAAAATTCCTCGATGATCCTGGAAGGCTAAATACACACACACGCACGCACGCACGCACATGCACACACACACGCACAAAGTGTGTGTACGTCCTACCACTGCCAGATGCTAAGTCTAAATTTATTTACATTTCTAAAGGCTTTCTCCCTCCTTCCCAGAACCTCTCCCTCCTGAAAAAGGTCCTGCTGCTTCTATCCTAGACACTTTAGCAAGACTCAAATGTTCTTCCTGACCAAATGCCCACCTCAAGAAGAACCCGGAGCCAGGAAGAAACCAAGGGTGGCCACACACCTCATCTGTCCTGCTGTGCTGGTGCCAGGCAAGAAAACAGAAATAGAGCCATGGAGCCCAACAGCAACATCTCACATGGTGCCAGCAGGCAGTGAGCAAGGCCCAGGCAGATAAACACATTAAGGCAGGCTGTGCAGTGCAGGACACGTCCAGGCCTCAGTGACTTCATCCCAGCCAGCCAAGGTCAACTCTAGTCTAAGGTTTAGTCAGCCTCCTCTTCTGTGGGCTCAGACTTCCCTGGTCAAGATCACTCATATACCAAGAGGATTGGACAAGGCCACGAGTGAGGCCAGGTGCCAGCAGGGCGAAGGCAGGCAAAAGGCACCACAGATCTCATGTGGTGGCAGCAAGCCAGCTGTGTATGGATTCAAGCCTCAGACCCACCTGTGAAAATCCTACCCTACTCAAGCCTGACCACCTCCTCCAGGAAGCCCTCCTGGCTCTTGCTAATTAGCAGCAACTTGTGTGTTCTCTGAACATCTAAAGCAATGCTTCCTAACATAGGGTTATGGGATCAGCATCATCAATCAGCATCACCTGGGAAGTTGCTGGAACTGTTGTTGGAAGTTCTCAGGCCCCACCCAGGCCAAGCAACTTAGAAACTCTGAGGGTGGGACCCAGCAATTGGTGTTTTAACGATGTCCTCCTAGTGATTCTAAACCAGGCTGTGGTTTGGGCGCCACTAATACAAAGTCTAGATTCTAAACCACTAACTGGACACCTGTGTTTTACATGCAATCCCTGTGCTCCTGGCTTCCCTGGGAATGTGGTTGCATTTCAGAGCCTGGATCTCACATGCCCATAATCCCCCACCTTGCCCAGCCCAGGATGCCACAGCAAGTACTTCCTCGGCTAACACCTGTGGAATTTAATTAGCTTGAGTTCAGATACCACCATCAGGTTACAAAATCATGGAACCTGAATGCTGAAAGAGGCTTTAGTGCCCAACCAGCCCAACTACCCATCAAGGCTCTGCCAGGACCCAACTTCTCCGTGTTTCTCTCAGGTCAGGTCAGATGCTCCGCAAATGCCTGGGAGTTCATAGTCTCATTCCTTCACCCACAAAATATTGACTGAGCATGGGTGCCAGGCACACACAGATGTTCCTGCATATAAGTGAACCAGCAACGAGGATCCTTGCTTGGAGGAAGCAGATATTCCAGTGGCAGGAGAGACCCAATAAATAGCAATAAATAAATAAAACAAAAAACCCATATGCATTAACCATTAGAAAACATCGGACACACCAAAATATAGGGACTTCCTATGAAAATAACTAAACAGCACTCTTCACCAATGTCAAAGTCATGAAAGATAAGGAAAGATGAGTCACAAATTAGAGCACACTAAGGAGACATGGTGGGTACATGAAATGTGGGACCCTGGACTGGATCCTGGAAAAGACAAACAGCATCAGCGGGAAAAGTGATGACATTTGAGGAAGGCTTACAGTTTGACATGCAGTTTTAGACCAACATGAAACTTGTTCTCTTCTATAGTGATATAAGATGTGAACAATTATGGGAAGCAGGCTAAAAGGTAGACAGGAATTCTCTGTACTAATTTGCAAATTTTGTGTATAATATTTTGACGGCAAATCCAGTTGGGAACGATGGTCCAAATAAGAGGTGAGGTGCATTTGGCATCCTTAAATAGAGGGGTGACATGTGGGCAAGATTACATTTGGGCAAGACCCAAAGGCAGGAAAGGGGCCAACCAGTGGCACTGTGAATGACATGGGACCAAACTCAGTCTTGCCAGGATGTTTACCTGCTTATGCTTGTTCTTCTATCCAGATGAATTCTGACCACGCTTTGAACACTTATGACAATGCTGGAGGCCCCTCAGTCTTCTCTTTGGAGGAGGTCTCACAGTCCTGCAGCTGTGCCCACTGAGTGTGCCCTGGCAGCCTGAGCCCCTGGAGTGGACAGTGAGAGACAGCACACAAAGGCAGTGGGGTCTGATAAAGACCAAGGTTGAGACCAGAAGCACCTCCACCTTCTTTGTTCTGAAATTGCCCTGGTCTCCTTTTCTTGACAGCAAACCACTTGAGTTCCTACTTCCTCCTGTCTTTGACCCGGTGTCCAAGCTTCTTAGCATGTGAGCTTCTCCCCTAAGCACTGTCCACATGCGCCCAGAACCTTGAGCATTGGCGCTCAGAGCGGGGTCGACGCAAGTAAGCAGACATGAGTCAGGCTGAGACTCCACCTAATGACTAAGGATCAACGTCCCACCCGATGTTCCCATGTCTAGCCCTTCAGAAACAACAGGGAACCATAATCCAAAGCAAAACAACCCACTCCCTAGGAATGACAGCCCACAGTCCTGAGTTCTAACGACCTCAAATAAGACTCTCCCTTCCAGGTGCCAGGTCACCATCTATAAAGTGATACAGTTGGATTAGTTAATCCCCAAGATGTTTTCCAGTTCTAACACTGAATAATCAGTAATGTATCAAATGAAATCATGCAAGGTAATTGCAGCTGTGAAGTACAATGTGAGGTAGTAATGGTAGCAGTGATGAGATCTATGGGCTCCTCCCCCAACTGAATCACCAGAATTGCAAATGGTGATTGTTACTATTAATATAATAATGTCTTAAATTGCAGAGTACTTTTCCATTTACAAAGCATTTTTATACACATTATCTTGTGTAATCCTCATAAGAACCCAGTGAGAGTGGTAGGAAAAATGTTATTTCTTTTGCATAGATGAGGAAACAAAGTTCAGTGGCTGTTCAATTAGGAGTGACAGTACTCAGCCCGGAGCACAGGACTCAATGCCTTATCTTCTTTCTGCTGCTTAGTGCTGTCTTTGCTACTCCAACAACCTGTGCAACCATCTGTGATTTTGTGTCTCTAGGTTTTGACCAGGTTAGTTCAAGGCATCTGCATGATAAGGAAACCCAGGCATTCCCCTCGAGGGGAAAGCATCGAAAGTGTGCCCAGAGCTGCCTTGGCTCGGTCCATCCATTGGGCTCCTGGGAGCACAGTCCTTTCCAGGAGGGGAGGTGGCAGCATTCTCCATTTGTCTCCTTGCAGCTCAAAATAGAACAGATGAGGTATCACAGCTGATCTCACTGCAACATCAGATGTTTTAAAATAATTAAATAAAGAGAAATGGAAATGTGAAGAAAAAAGCCCCAATTTTTCAATGCTAGTGTCCCATGGACGTGATAAGAAAGGGACAATGATCAAAGTCAAGGTGAGGGGGCAGCTCCCACAGAAGTGCCAGGTTTATAGCCGTTCTGTCCCCGCTGTCCAAGTCTTCCTACCAGTAGCAATACTGTCACCCCTCACCATTCGGCTGCAACCTACAAAAGGCAAGAGACAACTTCCTCTCTTGCCACACTCCAGGATAGAAGAAGCACTCCAGTCAGCCACCAATTTCCTCTCGCTAAGCAGCCCTGTTCTCCCATGCCCACTACATGCAGAGGGTGACCCAGGCACACCCAGAGTGAGTGCTCTTGCGTCCTGTCAGACAGGGCCGGCCAGCATGAGAGCTCTTTGCTCAAGCGCCATCTCCATATCCTTTGTGTCCCTACCTAAGTGCCTACATTTGCCCATGACACTTATCTCCCTAGACCTCAGTCTCCACAGTTCTGAACTGGGAGTTAGAAGCACTCATCTTACTTCCTCATAGGGTTGTCAGTGCTATGAGGATGGAGTGAGATCACACTTGAGAAAACACTTCAAAAATTTACATGTCCCACAGGGCACTAAGAGACCATGGCTCATCAAGCACCTGGTCAGGACTGATGGCAATGGTGTATGGCTGGCCTTTCCCAGCCTCCCTCCGGTTAGATGGATTGGAAGATCAAGTTCTGGCCAGCAGAATGTGACCAGAGTATCTACTCCGTAAAGCCTTCCCACACACGATCCTGTTCTCTCTTTTTCTCCTCTGCCAGCTGAAGACGTAGAGGAGGATTCTGGGTAGCTAGAAAGGACAGAGCCATAGACACACCCTTTGATTGTGTTACATGGCTGGAGTTGGCGGTTGCTTGCTACAGCAGCTAGGCCACCTGGACTAGCAAAATGTCCCAGTGGAATAGCTGCCTAGAAAATCCCACAATGAGGCTGTAAATTCAAGTGAGTAGAGAAAAAGGTTTTAGTGGCCAGACACGGTGGCTCACGCCTGTAATCCCAGCACTGTGGGAGGCCAAGGCGGGCAGATCACCTGGGGTGAGGAGTCGGAGACCTGCCTTGCCAACAGAGTGAAACCCCGTCTCTACTAAAAATACAAAAATTAGCGGGGCATGGTGGTGGGCGCCTGTAGTCCCAGCTACTCGGGAGACTGAGGCAGGAGAATTGCTTGAACCTGGGAGGTAGAGGTTGCAGTGAGCCGAGATTATGCCACTGCACTCCAGCCTGGGCGACAGAGCGAGACTCTGTCTCAAATAAATAAATAAATAAATAAGACCATATAAAAGATAAAAGAGGTACCCCAGCAGATGGACTCCAGGGCCCCACAGTTCTGTGATGTCTGTGTTCAACCTGTTTGAGGAACAGTCAGTACAGCACACACCAAAATGCAGCACCCATCTAGTTTGTTGCTGAGGTGCTCTTCCTTTTCTCAAACACCTATTAATGCATAATCCTGACAATAAAGAAGTGTGGATCAACCTCTAACTAGTCAGACAGGCTAGTTTTTGTTTTGTTTTGTTTTTTGAGACAGAATCTCGCTCTGTTGCCCAGGCTGGAGTGCAGCGGCGCAATCTCAGCTCACTGCAATCTCTGCCTCCCAGGTTTAAGCAATTCTTCTGCCTCAGCCTCCCAAGTAACTGGGACTACAGGTGTGTGCCACCATGCCTGGCTCATTTTTGTATTTTTAGTAGAGACTGGCTTTCACCATATTGGCCAGGCTGGTCTCACACTCCTGACCTCATGATCTGCCTGCCTCGACCTCCCAAAGTGCTGGGATTATAGGCGTGAGCCACCACGCCTGGCCCAGACAGGTTAGTTTATCCAATCACAGTATCAAATGCCTTCCTAATGTGGACAGGCCATGGTAGGCCACATAAGAGACTAATAAACCACCAGAAAAAAGTGGGGGACAAAAGACCTGAAAGACAATTCACAAACATAAAACAAATAGCCCCTGAACATGTAATGTTCACCCTTACTCATACAAAATAAATCACTCATACAAAATAAATCCCATTAGGCTGGCAAAAATCAAAAAGGTCGGCAAGACCTCGAATTGCAGAAGAACGGGGGAAAAGGCACTCACTTGTACTATCTGTGGACAGGGACACTGGTTCCTCCCGGAGATCCATTTCATAATATCTATCAACTTGTAAAAGGCAAGTCCCTTTCAATTCAGCAATTCCAATTTTAGAAATCTACCGAACAGAAATCCTCATATATGCACAAAAAGACTCATACACAAGATTATTCATTGTTTGAAGTGCAAGAGATGGGACATGGCCTAAATGTCCAACAGTACAAATCATACAAATACATTTGGCTACTAAACAGATGAAAAGTCTACTTCAAAGTTTAGAAGATCCTGCTCCATAACATCCAGAGGTCGGGGGGCGGGGGAACTGGCAAGCAAGTGCACACCCACGGAGGTTGTACCAGCATTTACATGCGCGCAAGAAGGGATGTTATGGAGAAGCATTATCCTTCAGATGCTACAGAAGCACGATTCAATGTTCGACAAGGTGTGAATCTGTTTCCGTGCAGTTCCTTGGTGTTGTGCTTATTTTAAACATATGGAAAATTAGCCATAATGCAAATAACACAGCAACAGCTGTGTTTTCATCTTCTTGGCTATTTTGACGTCACAACCATCAAATACAAGCTCCAAAAAAGAGCGAACGATATTGTTCCCAGCAGCACATGCCAAAAGGCCACACACCTTCCCACGGGATGAAGGATTCCAGGGACATCTCTTTTTGTAGGTGTTACTTCCCCTCTTTGCAGAGCAGCTATTTAGCAACTAGGGGGCAAAGCCAGGCAACTGAGACTTAGGAACAGAATTATATCAGAGAAATTGGCAACAACCTTTCTGGAGTGAAATCTAACAGTGCCTATTAATATTATATATAGACACACACCTTTTGACTTAGGAATCCCACTCTCTCAACATTAGCATGGCAGGCAACATATATGAGATGTAGGGGAGAAAGAAACCGTACCCTGAAAACAACCCGAAAGTCCATCAAAAGAGAATGACTGAATAAATTATGGTACCTCTATACCATGAAAATTCTGTAATTATATTTTAACATGAGATCTATATCTACAGGAAGATATAGATCTCACCTCTCCTGCCTCAGGGGAGATGTTCAGGATGAAAAGCGTAGTTATCAACAATGTATTGTATATTTCAAATGTATTGTATATTTCAAAGTAGCTAGAAGAGAGAATTTCAGATGTCCTCAACACATGGAAATAATAAATACTCAAGGTGATGGATATCCCAAATTCCCTGACTTGATCATTATACATTCCACACATGTAACACATATACACATACCTCATAAATAGGTAAAATATTATCTATCAATAAATAATAAATTGAAATTTAAAAATAAGAAAAGCAAGTGGCAGGGGACAAGAATATAATAAAATACCATTTTCATTAAACAACTGAAAAGCCCCAGACAAGGCCCACAAGGCCCTACCCAATCTGCCCTCCTCCAATTCCTTCCCCTCCTTCTGTGACTTCATTTCCTGCCTTTTTTCCTGTCACATGCTCTGCTCTGTCCCATTGACAGGACACATTTCCAGGCACATCCTGCCCCAGGGCCTTTGCACTTACCCTCAGCCTCGGTGCTCCTCCCCCAGAAAGCCACATGGCTTTCTCCCAAGGTCCTTTTGGTCTCTGTGCAAAACTCACCTTCACAGTGAATTCTACCCTGATCCCTCCTTTAAAATTACAAAACAGGGAGGGGCTTTTTCCTGTTTTACTTTTCTCCATAGCACTTATCATCGGCTGCATTCACTTCACTGTAAGATATTTTTATTTTGTTTTCATTGTTATTGAAACTGAGTCTCGCTTTGTCGCCCAGGCTGGAGTGCAATGGTGCGATCTCGGCTCACTGCAAACTCCGCCTTCCAGGTTCGAGCGATTCTCCTGCCTCAGCCTCCCGAGCAGCTGGATTACAGGCACACACCACCACACCTGGCTAATTTTTGTGTTTTTAGTAGAGATGGGGTTTCACCATGTTGGCCAGGCTGGTCTCGAATTCATGACCTCAAGTGATCTGCCCACCTTGGCCTACCAAAGTGCTGGGATTACAGGTGTGAGCCACCTCACCCGGCCCACTGTAAGACATTTTAATCCCCCGGACCATCAGTTCCAAGAGGGCAAGGGTTTTTGTCTGTCTTGTTCCCTGTGGCATCCCCAGCACAGTAAACATCCAGCAAATTCTCGCTGAATGAATGGAAAACCTGTTTGCACATCTTGACCCAGGCCTGGGGAAATAAGTGGAAAGGTCCACCCTAGGCTCTCAGCACTTGGCCGGGAAAGCTGCAGGAGAGGAGGGCATGGCATCCGAGAGCCATCAAAGAGGAAATAAGAAAGACTTTCTTTTTCTCCATATTATGATTCCACCAGTTGCTGTGAACATATGCTATTTTTATAACTTTTGAAGAGGCATTAAATAAAATAAAAAAGCAAAGATGTAAGTCAGACTCAGAGGAGTAGTGTGGAGGGGAGGGGAGACAACATGAAGAGAGAGGGACCCAGGCCACGCCCAACAGCTGCCTGGCTCTCTCCTCCCTCAGAAGAACCCATCTCTGCCCTGCATCCGGTGCAGCAAACGTCCTGGGAAGGTCAGGCTGTGGCTCATGAAAGACACCACAGAGTAGATGCTAATCCAAATCCCAACACTCCCAGACTCTCCCTCCCACCCAGCTCAGCTGGTACTGGAGGCAGACAACAAAAAGCTGGCAGAAAAAACAAATGGTGGAGACAGTAAGGTCTGAAGAAGGTGGGGTGGGTAGAAAGCAGCAAATAGGAAGGAGGGTTGGTCCAGGGGGCCAGGCCCCAGCTCAGCCTCCTAGTCACTGAGTCACCTGGGCAAGGGTGCTCTAACCTCTGAGCCTCTGGTTCTTCCTCCCTAAAAGTCAAAATAAAGGTATCGGCCTTGCTCCAATGGGCTGGATGTATGCGATACTGCTTTATCACGCTCTACAAATATCATTAGAAAGAGAATCAGCGACGTGGATGCCTCACTGAATAATGCAAAACCCCGCCCCACACAGAGCCTTGGTTTCCTCTATTGTGTTTTCCAATTACTTGCTGTTGGTCTATCAAAAAGCCATGCATTTTAATATCTGACCTTTGGCCACCTGGCTCAACTCTGTTGCTTCTAATAATTTGTAGATTCGGAGTCTAGGATTTCCTCGAGCCAGACGATCACCATACCAGAAAATAATGACGCCTTCATCACTTCCTTTCCAGGACTTATGTGTCTACTGGTTTTCTCTTGTGGTATTGCACTGGCTCTGACCTAGGGTGCAAGGTTGAATAAGAGAGGTGATAGTGGGCGTTCTTGTCTTCTTCTTAACCTGAAGGGATTGCATCTCATGTCTATCTATCAGGAATAAGGTTTGCTAGAGATTTCAGTAGCTATCTGTCATCAGATTAAGTAAGTTCACCCAGCACAGAGTTAGCGATGTGCGATCATGAAGCACCTACTGGATCATATTGAATGTCATTTCATCAATTAGAGAGATCATTACATGATTGTTCTCCTTTGTTTTAATAGAGGTCTGCAAAACAAGGGGATGTCTCTACCCAATACTGCCTTTCAGGGTCAGGAGGAACAAGGCCTGGGACCCTGAAGATAAGGACGCCACTCCCATCTCAGCCACCAGCCTGAGCCCTTGATGGTCTGTCCTTCTGTGTGCTGCCCCTCCTCTCCTCAACTCTGTAGCTTTCTGAGCCAATCTCCTTCACCTTCATCCCAAACTCTCACTAGTCCCCAAAATGCCACAGACTTTCCTCTGTATGAAGTCACAACAGAAAGCTCATTGCCAACCAACTCCATGTCATGAGTAGTCACCCTGAGCATGCGCTATGGGAAGCAGGCTGATCACATCGTTTTCTCAGGATGAGCAGTTCAGGATTTTGATGCAAAGACTTCACATCCACCTTGGCATATGCTAAGATTCACATGAAGCTATTCCAAAATGGAACACGATACCTGGGAGACGTGAGCTCCCCGCTACCAGAGGTGGGAATGTCCCCATGACATTTGTTACAGAGGTAGTTCTACAAAAGACAAAGAGTGACCCAGAGTCTCCTCATCTGTAAAATGAAGGTAATGAGACCCATCAAAAGGCGATGGAGGAGGAGGAGGAAGGGGAGGTGGCAGCCTAGTGGGGAGAGCAGGAGGTGGGATGGACTGACATTCCAAGCACCTGACATACACCTCCTTACTTAGTCCTCACAGCAGCCCCTGTAGCCATCAGGACACAGAGAAGTTGCTACAAGACACACATGCAGAGGCTGGGCACGGTGGCTCATGCCTGTAATTCCAGCACTTCGGGAGGCCAAGGCGGGTGGATCCCCGGAGGTCGGGAGTTCCAGACCAGCCTGACCAACATGGAGAAACCCCGTCTCTACTAAAAACACAAAACTAGCCGAGCGTGATGGCACATGCCTGTAATCCCTGCTACTTGGGAGGCTGAGGCAGGAGAATCACTTGAACCCGGGAGGCGGAGGTCGCAGTGAGCTGAGATCGTACCATTGCACTCCAGCCTGGGCAACAAGAGCGAAACTCCATCTCAAACACACACACACACATACACACACACACGCACGCATGCACACACACACATACACACACATACACCTTGTTCAAGGTCACATATAGTGAGTAGGTGACAGCGCCCAGGCATGCACCAAGGGCCTCTGTTCCAGTCCTTAAGCTCACTCCACTCCACTGCTCCCCATCCCGGTCTACAGGGTATAAAACTCCTTGTCAAACTGCCTAACCCAGTGACAGCCACATAATGGGCACTTAATGATTCTCCCCAGATTCAGATGGTCAGGCATCCCTCCCGCTGAGCAAAGGCAGTTCTCCCATCTGCAAAGCAAAGGAGAGACCTCATCTTGGCCCCTCACAGGCAGGAAGGTCTGACTGCCTGGCTTTTACGGTCAGCCCTCGCCACCTCTTCAAA